AAATACAATTTACAAGAGGTAGTCGCGAGCTTAATATGTTTTAAACTTCAACTTCAAACTTGATGTAAAATTATTCTTGTTCTAGAATCATCGTTACATATATAATAAAATTATATTCTCTAATTATACTAATTTTATTTTCATATGTATTCAAAATGAGTAAAATTAGAGATAACAACTTTAGCAAAATAAATCTAATGACATAAAATATATATAAAAATAGAGATACGTCAAAATATTTACACAGTAGAATGCAGCACAATAAAAGTGTCGACGCGCAATAAATAATTAGAACAATATCAAAGCATCGAGCAGTAAAATTTTCTGCCAGTTACCAAGTGCTCATTATACTTTCTATCGACGTTCTCAGAGCCCATCGTATTATTTCCGCGCCGATATCAAAGGTGCATTCGAATAAACTGCAGACCGATGCAATCGCCACGTGCACCGGCTGCGTCACGAGGATATGCGAGAGTCGGGGGAAACGAGAAAAGAGAGAAACGTCTGCGAAAACGCAGAAGCGAGCTACGAGGAGGGAAAGGACGGTATTTAATTAGCTCGAGTTAAAAGCTCGGCTTAAATGACCTATTCAGCGCTTAGCGTCGAGCGAATTCACTTTTGGTACTCCCTCGACTCCACCTTCCCAAGGAAGATCCTGTCCCGCGTTGTCCTGCGTCTTCCTGTCGCGCAGACTCGCAGGACTCGCCCTCGGAAAACTCGTCGAAACGTTAAAAAGATTTAAAGTTAAAATATCCTACCTATCCTCTTTTTACAAAGGTTTCTTTTTAAAGGATCTATATATATATGTATATAAAAAGGCTTTTTTTTTTTTTAGATATCATATCAAATATTTTCCCGTACTCTCTTTTCAAAGAAATATGATCCGAATAAGTAACTCTTTTCCGAGATTTTTATTTTCGGGATCTCTCGCAAGGACCGAATTTCCGATTGATGTGAAAGATAGCTTGATATAATTCCTTCGTGCGCTTTTTTTTTCTCTCGACCAATGGAACGTATGTATGAAACTGTCTGGAAGCGCATCCTACGTCGCCTGCCAGCCGAACTTTTCCCTCTGCTCCGTCGCATTTTGAACACACATCACTGTTCCCCGTATCATCATGACTAAATGAAATCCATTAGGAAATGGAAGACGGAGCGAGGCGCGGCAGACGGCGAATAGTCGCGGGCGAGCGTAATGAAAAATCATTACGATGACTGTGGCGAAGCGGAGGGAAAGAATTGACGTGGCGGGTGAAAACGCGATCGATGTCCCATTAGGAAATACGTAACACACGAGGATGCTTTATCGAAAATAATCTCGAAGCTGCCATATTTATTAAAACACATCGAAACACGCTGCTCTTATAAATTACGTAAATTCGATTTAAAAAATAATTTGTAATAATAAAGTAGTCGCTAAAATGTAGATGTACATTGAAAAATCAAATTTTTATAAATGATGATAAAGTATCATTCCTATATCATTTATATATCTCTGAATAATCGATATATTTTTGTGCGCGTTTAATAATTCGTGCGAACAAATCTGTTCTGAAATTGTTTACGAATATTGTTTGCGCGACGTTTTATACGCAAAGTCAGTCTCACGAAGCAGAAATCGCACTCAGCGAACCGATGATCGATCAGTCTAGATTTTTACATTATCCTTTTTCCACCTTCCGCATCAATGTACAGTCCTCATCCCACTTCTCTCGCTCCTATCAGCCAGAAGACTTTGGAATCTCTTCGTTTTTCCCAACTCCGACCTACTGCTGGAAGTGCACCGCGAGTTGTTAACCTTAGCTTGCGGTTTAATTACACGGGCAAATATTATCGAACTGACGGAGTTAATTAGATAATTAAAACTTGAAGGGTAAACTACTTTGCGAGTCGAGCGGCGCGCCGGTCTTTGAATATACATGAACGTATACATGCAGATATCGTCAGTGTCTGCACGATTGAGGGATACGAGATGAAGGATCGCATATCGCAAAATTTCTTAACGTTTAATCAATTTCATATACTTAGAAAGGGAATGACCGAAGGAAATAATTACGAAGAAAGAAATACGTTTGTTTTCGCATATGATGCGTTGTCATATATTCTTTATTTTCCTATGAAAATTTGTTTAATTCGAAATTTTTTTTAAGTAGACATAAACATGATTTTATAATTATTATCATTATTAATTAATTGTCAAGATACAAATAAAAATGTAAATTCTTAAAAAATGAAATTTTAATTTATATTAAACAGCTGATATTTTTCTATCTTAATTTTTCACAGAAAAGTTTAAGCACCTAATTTATGAATGACTTGAGAAAAAAGCGTTGAAAATTTACGTTGTGAGTTTCAAACAGAATGTACACCCTATCATTTGTATTAATTACTTAATAATTTATTAATTACAATAGTTAATTGTGGGACGAATTAACCGAATTAAATAAATTGTGCGATTCTCTCCCTCGTGATTTACGACTACGCAACGTCAACGACACGTCGTCGTTGACAAAGAAATCCCTTTAAAAAGGTGGAAGCTCTACAATGCGGCCGTATGTTTCCGGCATCATTATCTCCGGTCGGCAGAGCTCGCGGACCCTCGTCAGAGTCGGCGTTTATACCGCGAATCCTCTCGGATAAGTGAATCCCCTCAGTCGGAGCCGAGCCGAGTTTAAACGCTTTAACCTGCGCGAGCCACGATTAACGAACATGGTCGAGGAGACGACTGTGAACCGTGATGGACAGGTCAGAGATGCGCGATGTATCACACTCTTTCATATTATTCATCGCGCGAAATTTCGCAGCTCACGCTCGAGAATTGTTAGATACATATTTTATTTGAAATAGAGAATACAGAATATCTATGAAGAAAAAATGTTCCTTACTATTTTATCTTAATATGTTATTTAAATCTTTTTTCAAAATTATTGTATTAAAAAAAAGTGTTTGCGATGCAGAAATATTAAATTACAAATCAATGAAATGAATCAATCTTGACAACTCTTTATTTTAAATTGTGAAATTCTTAAAAGCATGATAAATTATATACGTATATTTATGTGTATATATTTGCCTTCTCCGAGATTTTTAAATGTTGAATCGATTTTCTTAGATCAATAATAAGTTGGGTATCTCATTTCTTTAGAAAACGTTAAGGAATACTAACTATTTAATATAAATATGATTTATTCAGTATATTTTGTATTATTTGTAATTTAAGTTATATTTTTCCAAATTATTAATAATAAAATACAGAGTAAACATTTTTATCATAGACTCGAAGAATTATTAAATCATCTCTTTATGTCCACTTTCAAAGATTTCAGAATTAAATATACGGAAAGCTAATTTTTTTGCGGAAAGCTGAAAAACGCGTTTAATGGAATCATAAAATAGATTTTTTCCAACATTCTCTCTTTACAAAATGAACAATCTTTTTACACTGAATAATTTATAACATGATTTAACGATGTAAACGTGTCTGTCCAATATTAGATCAGTGCAATTCAAAATTAAATCGTCTGCATTCCGTGCAAGATGCAATGCTAATTCAAAGTGAGAGCATGAGCCAATTTATGTACATATTACATACGTATATTTGTACAATCGCGCGGATATAGACCAAGTAGTAATCACGACCGCGTTATTATGCGCTCGTCGAGCATATGTTAATTCGCGTTGGAGATGATGAATGCGGCGAAGAGCCACCATTATACCGGGTGTCTCGGAATCATCGTACACTTCTTGTTCATTAGTGTCAAATACAGCGACGACTAAATTTCTGTGACGCAATATAAAGTCCATTCAAAATTAAAAAAAAACAAGACATCATTATCTACATATTAACATTCCCAAAAATACCTATAAAATCGAGAGAAATTTTTGACGGTAAATTTTTACGGTAACTCGATGATTATCGATATTTTCGTTGATAAAAAAATCGATCGTGCAATGATCAAGTAATAATAAGTCGCGACGGAAAGCGCGCAACGGGCTTCCGGAATACCCCATATATACGTAAAACGACGCTGATAGGGAAACGCAGTGCTCAATTCATTAAAGTTTACACCGAGGAAAGCTCTCGAGTGCGCCCACAGCAAAGCACCCGCCTGTACAAACAATTGCAACGAGCTCTCAACTAATCTGGTGTGTCGACGGGAACTGGTCAGGACAAGGGGAGGGGAAATGAAAGAGGGGAGTATAGGAGATGAGAGGAAAGTAGAATATCAACATCCAACGCTCGTCCAACTTGAGGAATTCGCTATGAGCTTTCCGAGATGGTGTTTCGAATGAAACCAGATACGACGTATAGAATTGTACCAACTGACCGAATTTAACTTCCGAAGTTGCAAGTATCTGACAACCGTCGAAAGTAAGGGAATACGTGCATATAACCTCGAGACAATTTTTTCTCATTATATAAAAAGATTTTCTTTAATTTTAATTTTTTAATTTTTAATTATATAAAACGATTAATATATAAATTGTTTTGTATTACACGTGCAGGCAAAGTGGCACTTTGTGTGCGTGTTTTCTGTGCGAAAAGCGGCCGATTTCCCACGCCGCCATCTAGCGGCGACGTGGTGAGTGAATAAGCCGCATTCAAAGCCATTGCCCACGGTTTCAGCCGTGGACAATGACTTTAAACACGGCTATTCCCACACCGTGCCGTCGCAAGATGGCGGCGTGCGATCGGCCACCTCCCGCACAGAAAACGCGCACAAAGCCACTTTGCCTGCACTTGTAATACAAAATATCGTGTGTATCAAGTGCGGATCGAACAATTGTTCACTCGTGTGGGATGGTCCATCCCCCGCACTCGTGACCAATTGTCAACTTTCCGCACTTGATACACAATATACTATTATTCCTAAAACATGTATAGGACGCAATTTGATGAAAGTATTACGGAGAGAGATGCTATGGATCTGTTTGATAAATTGCAAAATGTTAGAAATGTGCGATCGTCTAAAAATGTCGTTTCTTCCGATCTGTTCCAGGCACAAGCGGAAAGTGCAAAACCTGCTGCCGTGCAAGAGCGCAGCGGGCGCGGCGGCGGTCGCCGGGCGGGGTCGCGCGTTGCCGGACGGGCAGCCGCACTCGGGCCCCAGCATCGGCGGCGGCGGCGGCGTCGGCGGCGGCGGCGGCGCCGTTCTTTACGAGGATCTCCCGGATCACGCGCACTCGCAGCTGCACAACCACCACCTGCCGGCGGGCCACGGCCAGACGCCGACGATCGAGGTACGAAATCACGACGAGGGCCAACCGCGGGCCCCACCGCCATCACGCGAACCACCGCTGCTACCTACACGCAGGGAAACGAGACCGCCGCAGCCGCATCATCTCGACTATCTCGACTACCGCGATCCCAGGTCGATACTCCGCGTCCAGGACAAGCCGTCGCGGGCGGTCCTGGGCGGCTACCGGACACCGCGAGCCCTCTTGGCGAAGTCGCAGGGAGTCCCCCTGTCGATCGCCGCAACCGCACAGTCGTCCGGAACCCGATTTGCCCCGGGCAACGCCAACGGTCTCCTGCGAGACAGCCACCTGCTGCTGGCCACGCAGAACGCCCTGATCACGAGTCAGCGACCTCCCTCGCCGGTCCCGTCATCCGCGGCGCTCACGGCGACGATCTGTCGCGACGAGTTTCCGTCGTGTCGGGACCTCGACGTTAGCCTGGCCACGTACTCGGCCGACGTGCGAGTCCCCGCGAGACCTCGCGATTCCGGTATCCCGATCACTCCTACCCATCAACCGCGCGTTTCCCCGGCGCGGACCCCGGCGAGTCCTATCGGCGGATCGACGGCGCCGACGAAGCTTGCGATCCGAGAGACAACTCGTAGACGAGCCTCGGTGGACTCCGAAGGTTACTCGTACATAGATTTCAAAGATTCGGATTTGGAGGCCGCGAGGTACGCCGGTCCTCCCGGGCGTGGTATGCGATTATTGAGATCCACGACCTTGAGATCGAGCTCGGTCGACTCGGACGGCTACTCGTACATCGTCGACTACAACGGCAGGAGGGCGCCCGGCGCCGCCAGGAGGCTCGTCGCCGACGGCACCGAGGAGGAGGTCTGTCCGCTCTGCACCATGCAGCAGATACACCACCTCCTCAGTCAACCAGAGCGGGACGTCTATCTGCGCGTGCAGGACACGTGACACGCGCCGTCCTGGCCGTCGGCCGACAGTCTCGTCGCGGCGTAGAAGGGAACGGACGTATATACCTACCCTCGGATATCCCCCGTGGGACACGCGCGTTTCCCTTCGGCGAGAGAAACCGGGATAGCTTCGACATATCTCGCGAGGTATCGCGTCAAGGTCGACCGAGAGCTAGTATCTCCCCGTGCCGTGATGTGACGTAACGCGATGCGACGTGACGTGACGTGACGTGACGTGGCGTGACGTCGCGTGACGTCGGATGTTAGAAAAGGGACGACGTCGCAGCTGTGTCCCGTCTAAGGCTATCGTCGTAAGGTTATCCTTCCGGCGGGTTTCGGCGAGCGGACGGAGAGACGGAACACAAGGTATTCCACATTGACATTGACACTAAGGCTGTGTGCGCTTCGTGATTCGATTTGTTTTCTCTGCAAGAGAGTGCTGTGTTCTTCATTTATCCCATCCAATTTATTCATTCATATATAAGAGCTTCGATTCGATATTTAGTAGAATCCCGATTGTAATTTTCGGAAGTAGATTTAATAAATCGCCATGAGGAAAATTAGTCAGTGTTTTCGAAATTGAAAGATGCGTCTAAAATTGATTTTTATGATGCTCGGAAAACATTTTAGAATAATGTGACTAAAAGTGTAAACGATTTACGATTCCTCCTCCTGAACGCTGACTGATTTAGTGATTCATTAAAGGTAAATTTACCGTATAAATTCATTGAGAATTTCGTGTCGGGAAAATTCTGAACAATTCAGATCACACGATGCTTTTGCACTTTGAGAAGACCGTAGCTAGTTTTTTCACGTTTCTAGAAGAAATGTAGTTAGAGAGAAGGCAACTTTGTACACGCACTATGCTTAAACTAAAAAAAATCAATTTACCTCTTATCTAAACTATATATGAAGATAATAATTGCTAAAAAAAAAGAAAAAAAAGAAAGAAAAGCATCTTGTAATCCGAATGCCAGAAAAATGCAGAAAATATTCGAAGATGACAATTATTCGAATGCTCGCTTCTGCAAGAAAAAAATTACATTACTTTACACGTAACAGTAGAAATAAGTCGTTCTAGATGCACCTAATCTCTTGCAGAGCAAACAACCCAACAATGACAATTCCCTCTTGTTCGACTCGATATACACAAAGAAAGAGAAAAAATAGTATATTGTGTATCAAGTGCAGAAAGTTGACAATTGGTCACGAGTGCGGGGATGGACGCACGAGCCGAAGGCGAGTGCGACCATCCCACACAAGTGAACAATTGTCAATCCGCACTTGATACACACGATATTTTGTATTACAAGTGTAGGCAAAGTGGCTTTGTGCGCGTTTTCTGTGCGCGAGGTGGCCGATCGCACGCCGACATCTTGCGGCGGCACGGTGCGGGAATAGCCGTGTTCAATACATTGCCTACGGCTTCAGCCGTGGACAATGACTTTGAACGCGGCTCAGCCGTAGGCAATGGCTTTGAATGCGGCTTATTCACTCACCGCGTCGCCGCTAGATGGCGGCGTGGGAAATCGGCCGCTTTCCGCACAGAAAACACACACACAAGTGCCACTTTGCCTGCACGTGTAATACAAAATTAATTTACCATTAACTTATCGATGAAATGTTCGAGTCACGCAAGCTTCCGTTCGTTCGCCGCCGTCGTCGTCGACGCAGAAGGGCGGGCTAGTCAGTATTTATTTTGTTACTTCGGAGCCGTGCCCGTGCAATCTCCACAAACTAACAAATCGAAAGAGTGCGAGAGACGTGTGAAAAAGAAAAAAGGGGGAAAACGCGACGGTGACAAGTTAGGAAAGTAGAGAGAGAGAGAGAGGGGCCTTATTCGTCGGTTGTGCGGGCACGGTACCCGGGCGCACTCTATGGTTGTAAATAGATTATAGAGATTAGACCCGTGAATTTTGTAAATAGCACACCTACCAGAGAGAAACGCGATCGACAGGATCTAATATATATAGTTATAAAAGAGGGAAAGAGGAAGTCGCGAGGAAAGATGATGATCTGATTTTCCGATTTGTAAATTATAGCTAACTGTTCATCATTATAATTGTGCGATTGTGGACACCGCTATTATCATTGTCGTCTTAATTGCTATTATTACGATTATTATTACACTACATTATTATTATTATCATTATTAGTATTATTAACGTTATTTATTATCGTTGATTACCGCCTCGCCGAACGGTCGGCACCGGTGTTCTGTGAATAAAAAGTCGCGAATTCGACGAGGCGAAGGGCGAAACACGACGGTCCTCTGTATATCTTGAGTTAATGGAAGAGAAAGAGAGGGAGGTGGGAGAGAAGAGGTTTGAGAGAAATAAAATTACTTTGCTGAAAAATTTGACGAGGAGTGGTTATTGACCCGGTCCACAATCCTGTCCCGTTCCTCGCATCCCGTTTGCGCACGCGAAATCACGCGGATTTTACTCTAAGCAAAGTGTCACGGATTGAGTATCGCGGAAACAGGCTTTTACGCGCGATCGAGAGAGAGAAAGGGCGGAACAAAAAAAAATCAACGCCGAATTCTCTCTTTCGCGCATCCAGAAAAATCGTCTCCCAATACAATGACAATGACACGTGGACACGGAATAACCACTTCTGTGTTCAAACTTTTCCCAAGTATAAACTCGTGTACGCTCGCTGGTTGCACCGATTTTCTGTACTATAATCGCATAATAATTTTCCGTAAACGAAGAAAAATCGCTCCAGACTCGCTTTATTTACAGAGAGTGAGAAAGAGAGACGAATTTAATGGACCACAGTTTGGCGCGAGTCGTCTTTTTCGGTGATGAATCCTCGCAAACACACAAATGGCGAAAGAGATGGGAAAGAGAGTAAACGGGGAAAAAGAAACGCGCGGGAGGTTAAAAAGGGAATAAGGGCGGGCTCCTCTGGGAAGAGGAAAACAGAGGAAAGTATATAGTGGGGGTGAAAGATTGACGCGTCACCATTGTGCCGCGTCACCTTTGCTCCCCAGGAGCGATTGCCATCTCTCCCGCGCGGACGAATAGATCTCTAATTTCGCAAATGGAGCCGAGCAAATATCCAGCGGCGCGAAGATCCTCCTCTTCTTCTTCTTCCTCTTCTGTTTTCTCTCCAGGCCCGTGTAATTTAATTGCCAAAGGGATGGGTGGATATACGCGCCTCGTGTTCTCTTTTCGTTTCTGGACGGAGCCAGCAGTGACTCTTACTACTTGCGAGGTCGACGCCCGAAAATCTCGATAACCACGCGTCGCCGATTTCGATTCGTTGATTCGCCCCGAAACGAACGAACAAGAGACATAAATATTTGAGCGGCGCGAGAGAAAAGCGACCTACGATCGCTTGGAAAAGACGAAATGAACAAAAGAAGCGCCCGAATATAGCTCGTGCTCCGATTTTGATTCTCGTCCCGTGAAAGGGTTCGAGAAAGGGCTTCGCACTCTCCCAATCCGTTTCTGCGGCATTCGCGATTTCTCTTCGGTGTCAAAGGACTTTGGAATGTTTCGCCTTTCTACGTCATCGCCGAGATAAAACGAAACTATCGGATGGAGTCGAGAGAATAGTCAATTCCGAATAATTTTGCCCCCTCTCTCTCTCTCTCTCTCTCTCTCTTTTTCTTTGATTTCTGACGCGAGATAACTTTTACTTTGATTCTTAACTGCTAGAGCAGAAATCACTGTACTGCAATCATAAATCTGGGAATTGAAAAATAAGAAAAAGGTGCATACATTCGTATATAAAAGAATAATCTACGAGAAGTGGCACGGTACGTATATCCTTAAGATCTGCATTTCATCGTGGAAATAAGAATGAAAGAAAAGTAAAAAAAAATGTTTTCTCTCGCTGAATAATGTGGTACGATGAATTTTCGTTAGAAATCCTGAATAAAAAAACTCGAACAAGACTTTGTCGCGTTTCAACCAAATATTGATATCTGATTCTATTCTACGACGTGCGAGATGATATCACGATGTGATAAAATTAATGAAATTAAAACTTTTATTTTTCAAGTTTCTCCCGGCTCTCTAATACAATCGATCGATCTCAGCAGTCGCGTGTCAATTAGACTGCATTTTTATTTAG